TGTGAAATGAGGCTGGTGTTATTTGGCAGAGTAGTTGGCATTTGTGTTACAGGTGGATACTTGTTGGCATGATTCAGCTGAGCTGTGTGTCTACTTGAATAAGCAGTGGAACAACAACGGAAGAAGCAGCAGCAAACAGTTGAGTCCAGGCAGCCGTGAGGCGAAGCTTGAGGCGTTGCAGTTATCACTGTAGCAGCAGTGAACTCTGACACCTGGAGCTCTGTAGCCCTGGCTGTTGGCTTGGCTGCAGAAAGACCTGTAGGAGCACGACTTCATCACGCCACCTACAAACGGACAGAAATAGAAGTCAGGTGCCCTGATTTAGCAGCTCTGCTACATGGACCAACCAGAGTAAGCCAATGATATTTGTTGCAATAATGAACAGGCCTGCCTGACTTAGTCTTGTTTTTCATTTTATTATTTTTAAAATAATTTTTATTGCTTTTATTTCGCTTTTATTGTCTTCACTACTTTGTATTCTGTCCTTTTCAGTTTTGTTGTTTTGGTCCATTTTCCTCTAAATCTATTTTTTAACATCCAATGTTTTGTTATTCGCTTGTAAAGCACTTCAACTGCATTTTACTTGCTTGAAAAGACTTATTTATTTATTTTTTTACATTTTTTTTCTGTCACAGCTCATTGCGACTGAAAACCAGTGGCCTAAAAACAGTTACCACAGGTTTAAGAACAGTATTGCAGTAAATAACTCTCCCTAGAGATCCTACATGCTGTAGGTTTCTACCTTTTCTAAATTTAGTCCAAATTGTAAGTGAAATCAGTTAAATGGAAATACCATCGCTACAGCTAACTACAAATGAAATCTTGGCTGCGGTTTAGGAAATCTGTCTTTGTGCCATGAACACATGGCATCCTAATTAAGCATGGTCATTGAGCAGAAGCAGAAAAGCTCTTCATTTACTTAAAAGCCTCAGACCCCCTGCTGACTGAGATGTGGCTCCAGACAGCAGCCTGTCCTCTATTAAACACACTCCTATGCATTGTTGCAAAAAAAAATAAAAAAAATGGGCAGAAAGTAAATTGGTAAAAAAGAAAGGCTACTACACTGTCTCTGTTGGACTCACTGTCATGGCCCACCACTACAGCGCAGGCATCAGAGTAACTAGGGCAGGATTTGGAGCCTTGCCGGTTGCAGTCAGCATTATTGGAGCCCATGCAGGTGTAACATCGCAAAGCCTCACCTGAATGAAAGCAGAAAAGGAATCAATCAAAACAAGTCAATCAAAACAAGTCAAAGCATGGCATGTTGTTTTAAAAGAGTATATTGATCTACAAAACATAGTTTCATCTTGGTGATGGGCAGTTCAGAGATACGGAGCATCAAAGATGGAAGAAGATGAAGTTATGATTACACAAAATGTTAAAACAGAGATTAGAAATTGTGCTTCAGACACAGCAAACTGGTGTCAGGGAAGCCATACAGACACAAACTAAACTCGGCTGCTGCAGGACAGTATAATACTGCTGTATTTAAATGCTCTGTCATTCTTAGATTGGCCAGATGTTGCTGCTTGAGTTGATGGAAACTGTTTACAATGATAATCTAGGATTTTGCACTAAATATCTTTGTGGCAGGAAAAAAAAAAAAGCCTGTGTCAGCTGTATTCTAGATGTATTCTTCTCTCGAGGCACAACTAGTTCAGTTATGGATCAAGTATGCTGCAATGTTTGTCCTTTAAAATCCCATATTTAGACACTGGTGCAAGCGATTCTTAAGACAGCCATCTGTTCTTACTTAGTAAAGTCTGCACTGTGGCATATTCAAGTTACATCAGCCTCTTTTTTTATCATAAATTCGGAGTCATTGTTACTTAAGATCATGCAAAATCTACAAGGGGCCAAATCCTTTCCTCGACTCTTCAGTCGTTTAGCAGATGCGTGAGTGAGCAAGTGTATTCAAGGATCTCAACTCTTGATACTTTCATCCTTTATTTACTCAGGATCTACGGGTTTGATGAACACGCACATGCAGGCCTTGTAAATTTCCGATGTGGGAGGCTGTTCTGCAGGCACGGTGAAGTGAAGAGAGAGTGCTAATTAATCACTTCCTTCGCCCAAATCTTCCCAAATCAATCAAAGAGGTAAACCAGTGCTCTGATATTTAAAAAATGCATCTTTGTAAACTTCAGCTAATGCCTCAGGAGCCTACTTCAGCACATAAAACACACAAATGTATTTCTAAAGCTCTCCCGAGGAAGGGGAGCAGCTATTTGAGAACTAACTGACCTTTAAAATATTACTTTAACGCTTCCTTTTGAAACCCTCCATCCATCTCCTAAATTCTAGACTTTAATGCTGCCTCCTAAGCGGATCAGAGCAAAAGCCTCAAATATTCTCTGCAGCAGCACATCTCTTGCATTGGCCATCTAAATAACCTCCGTCAACCCCAGATGTGTGTGTCATCACTCAGATTCAATGGCAGGAGGATACAAAAAAAAAATGTTGCTTGGGCACATTAAAGTGTTTCTGAGCAGATATTGACCACAATTTCAAAACAAACAGTGAGACTAAATGACTAATGTGTCAGATTTGAAGCTTTTCTACTGATAAAATAACAACTTTGAGTGTGAAACTTTAAAAACACCAACATAAAAATTCTTTGAAATTTGTAATTGGCTAATTTTCTTTCCTGCTTATTCACTCTTGTGTGTGTTGACATGTCATATAAATGTCCCCTGCTGTTGGTGGTTGACCCCAGTCTATCCCCACAGCCGCTCCACACACATGCTAGAAGTATTAGCCTCCAGGCCTATTAAGAGATTAGCTGCTGGGATTGCATGCTAGTTACAGAGGAGGATGACGGACTGAAATTAAACAAAAACTCAGAGCGTCACCACAGAAATTAGCAGCAGTTTGCAAATGTGGCATAAATATGGTGCCATTGTAAGGTCTCAGTCTGTTTTCAAACATGTCAGGCGGTTTCTGAGAAAATAACTGCAGCATGGCCAACATTTACTCTCCTGGTGTCATAAAGTAGAGCCATTTCATTCACTCAACAGGTTTCTGCCTCTCAGAGACAAAAATACAGAAAAAAAAAACTGTGACCAGCTCTTGGAAATTTAAGAGTGGCAAAAGAGAAGAGTGTCTGAAGGGAGACTCAAGTTGAAATGACAGGTGGACAGAGAGCTGGGCAGGGATCTAATAGGGGAAAAGGATGAAAGGAAGATGGACAAAAGAGTGGCGTAGAGAAAGAAAACCAGGTTCTTACTGTTGGCTGACAGCAGGACCAGGGAAAGCAGCAGCAGCAGACAGTATTGGACAGTTCTCATGGTGCTGGTGGTCCTCGCTCGTCCTGATCACACTCTGAAAAGCAGGTTGTTTGTTTCTAAAGCCCCCTGAGCTTAATCTGTGCTATCAGATGAGCTAATATCCCTTCCTTCACCAACCAGGAGATTACCGGCCCCTGCACCGGGGCCCAAGGCTCTGCGTTGAGTGTCAGTAGTTCTACTGGTCAGACTCAACCTAAACCTTTTACCTCACCTCTTTGCTCAGGCCACACCCATCCTGAGGCTGGCTCTTCCCTTGCCTGCCCCTGTCTGGTCCAGTCTTTCATCATCTTGCTGCATCTGGATTGATCAGTGTAAGAAAGGAACTTTGACTGGAAGTTTTGTCAATGGCAGGTTAATGTGCTGCAGGATTGATGATTGTTGATATACATTCCCCTGTGTAAGATTATTCAGCATCATTTTATTGCTATGTAAATGTATATGTCATTATTCCACCATCATCGACTTGATACAAACAGAGTCACTTCTTCAGTTGGACATGTGGAAAGATTAACACAGAATCTAGAGTTAAAAATCAGAAATTGTACATTACTGTCCCAAGAACTGTTCTAAATCATTTCAAGTAGGCTACCATCTGTCTCGATGACGCTGCTGTTCTAAATATATTATTCTATTTGCTGCCAAGGCGCAGCATTTGTCAAAAACTTACTCTGTAATGGTCTAAAGCCTTAGTGCCAAACTATTTTTGTTGACAGACCAAATCAATTACGTCTTCAGCGACATCACTTATTATGTTCCTATAGCCTAATTTTAAATTGAATGCTATTTGAACACTGTTGACTAAATAAAAGCTATTTTTTCATATAGGAGAATGTGATACCAGACTTGATATATAGACTTGTTCCGGGATTTAGTATTCATAGTGTTACCACTTTGAGTGACAGTACCTTGATTTTCCAGCATTTACATACCACTTTCAGCAATCCACTTCAACATCTGCTTGCTTTCTAACTAATTTCCATCCTGTCTCATTTACAACAACCTTACAGCAGATCAACCTTAAAGCAATTTACAGTTCTACAGTATATATATGTGTGTTTACTTTGCTCCTAAAAATGTGTGGATAAACATGTATATTTTACTCCCCCCCCCAAAAAAAATTAACATTTTTCCATATGCCCCCTAGCAAAAGGAAAAGCAAAAGCAAAAGCTGTGGTAGACGTGCTGCAATTAAGAATCCCTCTAAAATATCTGAAGTAGGTGGAAATGACACCAAAGGTTTAAAAAGCATCGGTGCATCATTTGCACCCCAGCAAATCACCTGTGCCGTTGTATTTTGTTATTCCATTCGAATCAGCTTCCCTTAGACCTCAAGAATGTGACACTTTTACATACTTTCTAAATTTTTGTTTAAACTTGTCTGCCCTTTCACTCAAGCCTGCACTTTAATTTATTTTTTACATTTTAAGTAAGCCTTTCTTCTTTTATGTTGAATGTTTTACACTCTTTGTCATTACAAGGCCCTACATAAAGGACATTGAATTGCCTTTGTGCATTAAATATGCTACACAAACAAACTTGCCTCACCTTCCTCAGACACTGACTGGAATCAGGATATTGTCAAATACCCACAGTCACACCTTAATCCTAATGTATTATTCATGCCACTTCTAAAATCGCTGTCTCCATATTTCAAGCAATGCAAATACAATACCTCACCACGTGGAGGGAAAGAAGCAGAGTAAACACAGTGAGCTGTATTGCCATCTTTTATTGCACTTTGTAAGCAGATGCTGTACAGTAGCTGTGCAGAGAAGTTATCCCTCAGTGTGACAAACGACCATTGCAGGACTAGGACATATCCATCCGAAATTAAATTACTCCCGGTCACAACTGAATACAGTCACGATTAGTTTGCTTTATATCAAAATAAAATCCAAAAAATAAAGTTCCACGATTTCATCGAAAAAAGCTATGACAAGTATGACAAATATCTACAAGGTTACGTGAGGGAAGCGGGCAGAGGGTGACAGAATAACTATCAAAAATGCAGATGAGTCTTTTTCATACTTGGAATTTCCTACGGTATATACAAACGTTAACATTAAAAGTTTTTCTTTCTCTCTCACATGCAAGAAGCTATTGTGATAGTTTGTGTTCTCTTAGTGTGTCGACATGTTATGAATAAATCTAAGCATCTGGTCTATCTTTCTCTCGTATTAACAGGAGACAATAACAGGAGTGGGTAAACAGTCTTCTCCCTCAGTGGCTGTCATGGCAACATCATAATAGATAATTTAACCCACAAACAATGCTTGCACTTTCTCGTTATCATACACGCACTCACGCACACGTACACACTCATTAATGATATGATAAATTTTCTAAAACTTTAAACCAGACCCCCGATACAGCACGATACACTGACACATCAAAAATGTACAGATTAATTAAGAGGAAGCCATTCCTGTGGATCCTGTATACACAAAGTCAGTAGGAAATAAAACCCCAAGACCACTTTGGCCTTAAATGTCTGTCAGTTCTTGGAAGAGCGATTGACTTCATTTGAAGAACCGCTCTTTGTATCTGTGAGATTTGGCAAGGCTGTGGTGCGGCTGCTAACTCTTCCCCATCTTGGCGATCAGCTCGTCACAGATCTTTGTCAGCTCCTCAATCTCTTTGTTCTGTAAAACAATAGTTGAAAACGTCGATTTATACCCTTGGATATGCATGGATATTTCTTCTGATTAATTTTTACATCCCACTGCTGACCTTTTGCTCTAAAGTGCGTTCCAGAGAGTCCACCTTCATCTGCTCCTTCCTCAGACTGGCCTGGTAGGCAACTTGCTCCTGCTTGGCCTTGGCCCGCACCTGAGCTATCTCTGAATTGGCCCTGGAGAAATAAAAGTAATACAATAAGAATCAAGTCACCTCTGCATAACCCTCAAGTGCTTGTAAAGCCTTATGAAAGCAAAACCTCACAGCGGCAAAGCCAATAAAGAATTCATCTTTAGAAATTCCAAGTAGATGGAATATAAGCAATGTACAGGAACAGCTAATTACATTGGCCTACATCCAAACATATTTCCTCTGGGCATTGAGTTATTGTGCAGTTAGTGCATTGTGGTGTTCTCACTTTGGGGAAAACAACACAGTCATTATGGAATCAGCGTGACATAATGAGAGTACGTATAGACTCACTTGTCTAATTTCTCCTCCGCATGAATCTTCAGGGCCTGATATCGCTGCTCCTCCTTGCGGACCCTGGACAGATACTCCTGAGCGCACTTTTTCAATACGTCTTCATTCTGAAAGGAGCAAAAAACATTTTAATTACTTGCCACGAGGCTGTCAAGCAAAATCTGAGGTGAGTTACAATGCGGTCGTGCTGGGAAAAAAAAAAAAAGTCATTAGCTGTGAATAATTTGTGCGCGTTACCTTGCGGAAGCCCTCCAGCACGTCTTTCATCTTCTCGTAACGACGGAAGAGGTCGGCCAGAGACTTCTCCACAGAGTTGAGGTCGGCCAGGGCCTGGTCCTTTTCCATGATCAGCTGCTGGATGGTGTGGTGGGAGAGAGATTTCTCTTTCTGGTCATCCTCTGATGGACACACAAACACACTGTAGATTATCACTCTATCCGCTGAGGATTCGACTGTAGTGAGCACATATACTGTTTAAACAACACACATACATACGCACAAACACTGTTTTGACATTTTGACAATATATCAAAATGGATTTGTGGGTTAGTATGATTTAACAACATTTGTTTTTTACTACACTATATGAGCATTTTTTGTTAAACCAGAGTAGCATGCAAACAAAAACACTGAACAATGGGAAAATCAAAAAGAGACCTGTTTACCATCAAGGCAGAACTGGTAGCTGGTTTGCTTTAAGTAGCCCCCCCCCCCAATGGTATTTCAGCCCCCTCCCAACTTTCCCTTTCCTTTCCTGTCACAAGCTTAGATCTGCTTATCTCTGTAAAGCTGCATGAAGGACTTTCACAACCATCTTCAGTCAAGGGTTAAATCCAGATGTTTACGTGCAGGTTTCCAGTGTCTCATCAAATTTGTGTAACATCGGACCTCACTTGAGCAACTGAGAGATTACATAAAGGGCAGGTGAATTTAAAAAAAAATGCCAAAAGATTTTGTTCTTTATAGCCATTAACAAAAAAAAAACAACTAAATGTAACAGCTTACAGGATGATATGCAACAAAATGGACAAACAAATATCACTGTGATGAGATGAAGAAAGTGAGCACATCTGCTCCCCTTTCTGACGAACGGATGGATCGATCTGAGCTGACGCAAACAAGTGAAGGACAATTACGCGTTACTCACCTGGCATGCCTGTCAGGGTTATCAAATTGTAAGGGGCAAAGATGGGAGCAGAACAGAAAAGAAGGGACTGTGTTAAGTCAAGCTGGGAGGGCAGGACACGTGAGAGAGCCGAGTGTTAGACATGAGCAGAGACAGATTGTTCCTTTTTGTGACAGTGCTTTAATGAGGGTAAGAAATGAAAATAGACTGCAGCAAAAAAAAAAATAAATTAAATCAAATCTTCAGGAATGTCCAGAGGTGACAAAAATGTAGGTGAGAGCAGGAATAATGCAGAGAGTGAGCCTGCAGTGAAATATAATGAGTCCAGAGAAGTTGGACACGAGTGGGCAAAGGTGAATACTTCCCTCCTCCGTTGACACCTGGACTCAGTCTAAATCAATCAAGTATGAATGCAAGCACCTTGCTAAGATGCTGCAGAGGGAAAAAAAATACTCAACTGTCTGAAATCAGTGGCTAAGGTGGATATACAGTATATAATGCTGGAAATAAACAAGTGCAAAAAATAGTGACATAATAGCTGGTTTTTAATGTGCAGTGAAATCAATGCATGGGTTTTGTAATCAGCTGAAAAACTATATTTAACCATGAACTCACCTATCATCTGGGCAATTGTCTTCTCATACTCAGCAACAATTCTCCTGTAGATGAGAAATTGTACATTTTCAGAAAATGGATGAGGTCATACCAGTGCGTCATAAATTATTTTCAAGCGTACCGATCGTTTCTGTATTCAAAGCTTTGACATTGTTTTTATATGCTACTAGGAAAACGTGATCATCAAGAACAAGCGAAGGAAACATTTTTGACTTTTTTTTGTTGGAATTTAAGTTAATGACAAACAGAAATTGTTTTCAGGCTACAACTTTTGAAAATTCTAAATTATGAGTAATGGCAAAGTTTTACGTGGCCTAAACTATGATCATCGTTTTATATACATATTTTTTTTACATATAATCTTATTGAAAGAGGCAAAAGAACATCAGGGCCCAGCAGGAAGATTGTTTTTGTAAAAGCAGGTTGCCAGTGGTAAGAGGATTGATTAGCCATGCCTCTCCCTTAGCCTCTTAACCCCTCCTTATCCAGAGCCCAATCAGTCAAATGAATTAAGCTCTGTCTTATCCACACTAACTTAGCAGTGGCCAGCTGGACGCGCACCACCACCTGCTGAGAGAGAGAACAATGTTTCAGTGCCGGATCTCTCTGTTTCCTCAAACCCTAATTCGTAGCCATACATAGGTTGATTGTCTGAAGACGAGTGTAAGTAAGTTTTGAGCTGCTGACAGGCTGTTAGTTCCGCATAATCCAACTGACAGCACCTTAAAGCGCTTAACACATTTTCTCATTGACGTAAGGCGTGTGTCTGACTGTAAAACCTACATATTTCTTCCAAACTACATCTATTTTTCACTGCTAACTCTCGTGCTGATTCTTGGATAGAAATTGTGTTTTGGCTTCACTAAGCAGTTACCTGTAGTTTTGTTTGACAGTTTAAGGGAGATAAACGGATTGGCAGGTTAAATGGTGACAATGGGTGGAGTCTGACAGCACTAAGTGTCATTACACCGCTTGCAATCCAGGTAGGTGTTAAAATCCTGGCTGCAGTGTCTGCATGGGATTCCCCGGTAATGAAAGCGATAACAACCCAACGTGTCTCTTCTTACCTCATCTCCACCACTTCCTGCCGGCTGTCTTCATACTTCTTCTGCCACTCCAGCACCTCTTTCTCCTTTGACACAATCTGAGGAGGGTGATACAGTTGTTAAAGCCTGACATTCTGGATTACAGCAACTACAGTATAGGATAAAAAGAAACATTTTTGGGGCACCTCCTCTCGTGCAATTCCCAAAGAGTGGTCCAGGTCTCTGGGCAGGTGGGGACTCTCTCCTTCGATGTAGCTGGTATTGTTGGTGGTGGTGGTGGTGGTCCTGGCGTACAGTGAGTTCTTAGACACAGCACTCTCTATTGAAGATGCCACATCTCTGTGCTGCTTCCAGGAACCAAAGGAGAGGAGGGAAAGAAATGGAAACATACCCAGTTACAAACCAGACCGAGCTGCAGACGGGAGACCCTCAACGTCGAGCTCACACCCACATTCTCAACAGGATTCCTGAACCAAACCGCAAGGCAGCATCGAACTATATCAAAATGTACCACACAGCAAAATTAATATGTAAATGAGGGCAAGCTAATGATGTTTCCTGAAGACTTAGTCAGCCGCCACATGATTGGATGAAACAGTCTTCATTGCCACAGTATTAGCCGTTTGATTGGCTGATGCTGGCCCCAGCTGAGCGGTCATGATTGCCCGCTCACTGCAGTAGCTTGAATGTGATTGGGTCCAGGCAAGACAGAGGGGAAGGAGGCAGCAGCTGATCATATACAGGAGAGGGAGGATAGGGGAGCAGACTGGGCAGCAAGGGAAATATATGTTAGTCTCATGTTAATGTTACAACATTGTAAAGTGGTCTTACCTGTTGGGTTTAGAATCATTGACTGCAACCTTTCACAAAGTTTTCTCAATCTTTGCACAATTACAAAGACTATGATGTGAGATGAAACAATTCCCAGGATGTATAATTAGAGAGAGTTTGGAGATAATGTTGAGGTAGGGACACTCCAAACCAAAACCCGTATGCATGTGTTCATGAGGCCTTTGCATTCTATGAAAATACTCACAGACAGAACAGAATAACTCCTCACATAAGACATCATATTAAAATGCAAAATCCATCCTTGCTCTACTACTACTTTTGTTCCCCTAAAACCCTGTTCTGAAAAGGATTTAGTCATCCTTGGTAGACCTGGATTACAGGAGGATTTGATGAAATGGTGGGGGCCCACAGGGGACAAGGAGACAGAGATCTGCTAATGCATGGTCTTGCTGGAGCAGTAATTTGATTGTTTGGCTGAATATAAAGTCTGGTCAAGTTAAGGTAACCATGGACATCTTTGTTTATACTGATTTGGATTATCCTCCCAGTTCAGAGAGGTTTAAACTTTAAGCAAATAAATCCAAACCTGCCCTGTGCTGGTATGACTCCTAGCAGCTCTGATTTAAAGCTTGGTGTTACAGAGAGAATCCCTTGTACCAAAAGCACCTTTGCTAAATCATCCTGGATCACATGTCAAGTAAACTGTAAACAATTTAGTGTCGCTGGTAGGACTACTACCGGGGAAAACTGTAGACTTGAGGAAATACTACTTAAAGGTACCCTGTGGAGTGTTTTATTTCTAGCAATAATAACGGTCTTTCTATGGCCCCCATTATGTTTGTCTCGCGTAAGTGCAGAAGGATACACGATGCAGCTAAAACTTTTGAGAAGAATCTGCTTAGCAAGTGCTTTCTGAGTAAGGAATCACATTAGTCAAGGATGCCCACGAGGCATATATATAACTTTTGCTTGGTTATGGAAAACTCCACAGGGCACACAGGTAGGTTTAATAAAAGGGGCAAATCAAAGACACACGTCAAAGCCACAAGACGAACTCTACATCAAACACGAAAATAAACTGTATTACAAGTATAAAGACTACAAGACAGATACTAAATGTAACGGCAAAAAAAAATACAGCTCGCACAAATTTGCTCATTGGCACAAAAAACAGGTTTTGTAGGGAAACCATAAGAAGGTTATCGGATCACTCGTTGGTTCTTGGATTTCTGGGACCTACTGGAGCTAGAGTATACAGTGCAGTATGTAAGTATTTGGACAGGGATTTTGGCCCTGTAGTCCAGCACTTGGAGGGTAAAGTGTTAAATTTCAGGTTTAATTTAAAGGCATTCACATCAAAATTGAGTGAAGAATGTAGACAGCATTGTCCTATCATTTGCTACACTGTTCCAAAATTAGGGGTATTATGTGTTCAAGGGCTGTAATTCTACACTCATGACGACGTAGATGAGAACACCTTCAATCACCAGTAAAGCTGATATTTCTAATCCAGTGTGCTGGAGTACCGAGCCAATGAAACATGATGAAAAGCGTGTTTATGACCAAATACTTAGACTGCACTGTAATGGTATTAAGATGAGGACAGATGACAGGGGCATCAAGTTACTCTTACTTTGAATAAGGGTGAACCGTTGATATTCCATCGCCGAGTGCTGGGTTTCTTGAGTCGAGACTGTGAAATGTGTGGGACAACAACATGAGACATGGAAGGAAAGACGACCTGGAAGCGCCTGCCCTGTTCTGACTCTTCCACCGACTTTAAGGTTCAGCACGGACTTGTTCAACCAGCAAATTGCTGGGTTCAAACCGAAAACTTAACCTAAACCCAATGTCAACACCTACCTGCTGTAGCTGTTTGTTAGTGCTGTTAGTCTGGGAAAGGGACTAAATCACAAAACAAGAATGTGACTGGGGATTCGAGGCGATGATCGCAAACCATCAAGAAATACATCTGGAAGTGCTATATCCATTTAATTCCTCAGCTTTGAATATTACGTCTAGTGTGAGACATTCCCAGTCATATTCATGCTGATGTAAGCCTCTCATGAACAGGCAACATGCATGTTGCCCAACATGCATAACAAAGGCAAGGGACTAAGAAGGCACAACACTCTGTTCCTGAGTAATCAACTTGGAGGAACTTGCTGCTAGTCAGGGTGGGAGCTGGACGCGTTAAGCCATGTTAGAGATTTCATATGTGGGGACGCAAGAGGTGGCGGGATTGTGGATGTAGTGGTATAGCTACCATGTTCATAAGGCCATGGCTTCACAGTCACACTCGGAATGGTGTGTTTAAGAGGAAGGAAAGGCAGGCTGAGACACACTCATGCACACACACACTACAATCACGCACACCTGCGCTTTTCACCCATCCACTCATTCAAGATGCATCTAACTCACGCACTCACCCACACACACTTGCATACAGCAGGTGCAGGCTGACTCAGCGCAGTACCTGGGGGGTTACAGTGGAGAGGGAGGGGCACTGAGAGATGTTTTTGGCTACCTGCAGAGCCTCTATCCTCAGGGCAGCAAGCACCAGCTCCTCCTTGGCCACACACATGAGGGCCAAATTTCAGGGGTAAGGGAGGAGGGTGGCGGCCCAAGGATGAGAGAGGAAAGGGAAAACATATAGAAACTTGAGTTGAGCGCAAATACTTTTGCTCTCTACATTGTTATGCACCATTAATCTATTTTGCGCATCAAGCTAAAAACTGAAACTTACAAAAGAGGAGGAAACAATGGGAAAATGAAAAGGCAGGATGTAATATGGCGATACAATGGAAATAATGGTCGTACATAAACACGCACACACACACAGTCACATATCAAGACCACAAATGGGCAACCAGAGCCAACACCTGAAAGGTTTATCAAGTAGGGTCATATGTGGTCTGTCAACACACCTGGAGTTTTTGGGCGAATGCAGTGGGGTTGGTCTCAGCCAGGTCGGGCTCCAGGTACTGCAGGGGGTCGTCACACTCAGACAGCATGTCTAACAGGGGCATGGCCAGGGCTGGAGCAGGGGCCTCCACAGGGCCCTGGCTATGGGGCTACAGAGGGCACCAGGAGGAGTAGGCAGAGGGCAGGGAGGAGGGCAGGGAACAGCATGGCAAAGCAAGCGCTGAGTGTTTGAGTGGCAGCATTGGGAGTTGATTCATTGAATTTAAGCAGGGAGCCTAGTGTGGCGGACTGGCTATCTGTTATCAGTGGCAAAGCTTTAATGAGAATCACTATGAGTGATGGTATTCATGTTGGAGGGCTGAGTCACGGCCTATGATGAAGCATACGCAGCAGTGGCACTCTGTCTCCCCCTTGTGGCTCAACAATAACATGGCGTAAATGTTCCAAAATCAAAAATGACAGATTTTTTTAACATGATGGTGACTAGACACAGACATGATTTTCCCCCCAACATATGTGATACGTACTCAGTTTAAATATTTATAAAAGGTATTTTGACTCACCTGCTCATCCCTCTCTGTGCTCTGCGTTCGGCTGAGGGCTTCGCTTTCTCTCTTCCTGCCCTTGTCCCCAGCGGAGCCCTCGGGACCAGGCCGTGGACTCAGCACTGGTGTCTTCATACCTGCTGTTATCTGGGCCTCCATCTCCTCAAAACTCCTGCATAGAATGAGACAAACAGGCGAAGTTGGGGGTGGAGGGACGCAAAACATGCAATGTACCGTGTATGATTGATGACAGTGTTAATGAAAGCATTGCTGAAGTATCTGAAATGCAAGAGTTATGCAATCCGAATCACTGCGGTTGACATTCACCATACTCGAGAATAAGAAAGAGGCTGGGCATTGCACTGTAAGACTTAAAACGCACACATAGTTCACCATGTAATGTTGCAACAAGTGAAATGTACTTTACCCTGTGCAGGGAGAGCTGGGCTCAGATCCATGTGCACATGTGTTTTTGGTTAAGCTGTCAGATACTGAGTCCAACTTCAAGTACAAAGATGGCTTCTTCACAGACAGTGGCTACAAGACACACAACATGAAAACAGAAAAAGTGTCAGAATTTTCTAATGTTACTTTGCTTTTGTTAGCCAAAATCTCGTACATAAAATGTATATTATAATTACACTAAATATTAAAAACAGCAGACATAAACAAATGCAAACTAAATCAGTGAATAACATCAAATACTCACTGGGGAAGAGGAACCAATCTTCTCCATGTACTCAATTTCATAGTCTTGCACTGAGACGGACAGACAAAACAAAGTATTAAAAGCAGAAGACATACACCAGACGTGTCAACCAGTGTTGAGCTCTAGTCTGATGGGATCAGAGGCTGAAGCAGGACTGTGTAGTTCATCTCTGACCCAGATGGGTTGAGCCAGACAGCCTCTGCAGGTCAGAGGGCAGTGGGCCAGCAGGCTTATTTCACTGCCACAAGAATCAATAACATTGTTGTATGAATAAAGAGTGGCCAATAGCTGTACATGAGGATTTATCCAAATATAAGCTTCGAATTTCCCTTCGAGCCCCATCTGTCTGTGGTATGCTTTGATGTCTCTTAGCAGTTATTTGGACGCAGGTGGCCAGAGGTACAAAGACTCAGACAGTTATGTCTCACCTGGAGCCTCCTGAGGAAGACTGTTCTCATTAACAAAGGATGTAAGGTCACATGGCTGAGGGAATTCTTGTTGGTCAGAGTTCAAATCTGCATCCATATCGTGCAGAGCCGTCCACTTGTGACTGGTGGAGGAGGCCAGCTTCTCCTCGTCTGTGGCATGGTCATCCTGTGCATGATGGGAGGAAGGTTCATCTGCAGACGTTGCATCCTGCATCACAAAAAATTATGCAGAGCGAAATGGCACAGTCAGATGAAGAAAGAGGGAGAAAAACGGATGGATAGCAGTGACAGGCAAGTGAGAAAGTATAAATATGGATCAATACAAACCTCTGACATTGGTGATTTCTTTGGTGACCTCTTCACTCTGAAAGTATTACTGAGAAAAAAAGAAAATCATCAAGATCCAGAAACACTTAGGGCTTTTAGTACGAAACTCCTTATTAGATTCAACGCTTACTGTCTAACCTGTGTGTTTATAGTCGCAAATTCTAACCTGTTAAGCTGGATGGATACATCTGCTTTTGCATAAAAGGAAAACATAATTTGCATAGAGCAGCATTTCCGTATGTCCAACAGTACTACTTACTGTGCAGCTGAAATAAATGAAACAGCGAAACTGTTTGTGACTATTGTTGAATCTGTAGTTAGTAACTGTACAGTGAAGAGTAATGGCAAATGAATATTATGTTATGAACAGTTTACTTTTTACACATATCAACAAATATCACAGACCCTAGACAGGGAGGTCTTTGACAATGTAGCTGAGTGGTTAGGACACTGATGCAAACTTAATGTAGATTAATTGTTATTGATGGGTTTCTACTTTTCGCCTTTCTCTTGCTCAGTGTTTAGTGTCACAAATCCAAAAATATATAAATTATTTAAAAAAATACAAGCAATTTTCATCAACTTTTAAGATAATCATCCTGTTTTACTGTCTGAATTTAATGCAGGATTTTTATCTGAGTAATGCTTTATCAGCTTGTGAAATTTCTGCAATTTTTGCAGATGTTGTACATTTTTGCTATTAATCATTAATTGATATGTAATACCTCCTGAGCTCATTTGTAGTTAATATAAATGGGCAATTAACAAAGAAAAAATATATATCTAGTACTACTGTTTTTCAGTGATAGCCAACAATGAACACAAGAGGGAGCACAAGCACCTTCTTGCTGAACATTTAAAAATGGACACCTGACACGTGGAAGAAACCCATTTTACCAGCTTCAGCAGAAAAAGAGGATGGACCATAACCTAATTGGATTTCTTGCCATATTTTTGCTTTGGAAAAAGTTCTGATCAAAACCATTACAGTCCGTTAAAGTGTGACTGCCAAAGGCACCAACATAACACAGCAATACACTCATTGCTGACTTTATTGGGTACAATTGTGAAATCTAATGTAATTCAGTGCAACAGCTCTGCCATAAATTCTGCTTTTACAAACTTTATATATTTTCAGTTGTTGATGATGTTGGCAAAAAAGGTGATGGTTTTACTTTAAGTTCATTATTGATGTCAAGGAGAGAGGTCGTAAATATTCATTGCAGGTATATAAAATATTGAAAGATGTTATATTACTCCATCATTTAATATTTATAATAAACAAGCATTCCCTATACTTGCATCACTGACAACATCAATTCCACTAAAGAGTTTTGTAAAGGTAGAGCTGATGGAGGAGCTGATATATTGGATTGCATTAAATTTGACAGGTGTACCTAATAAAATGGTCGGTGAATCTCCATGTGTTTTACGTTGTCAATACGTCATTCAGCAACACCTCATTGAATAGTGTTTCACCTTCTTCTATTGGTAAGGTTAAAAGCTTTTTACATGGCTGACCACACCCAACCATGATGCAATGTTGCACAATTTCAACCCTGCTGGTGGATTCTCTACAAAATTATTAAATTATTAAATGCTTAAATATTTTGAAACATATTTGACACTTATTTTAGTAATTACTGAGGCCATTTACCAGTACGACTATCTTAACAGTACTATGATGTTCTTTATCTGGCATACAACTCGGATTGTAGCATATGTCAGACATAATTTAAAACAAAACTGAAAACTGACATCCTCCAGTTAAGATGGGTAGAATTCAAAAATTTTATATGGATTTGTTTGATAAGGGATTGCGATGTTTCTGTTAATAGGAAGAGGGACAGCAGGGCAACATGCTGCTTTAAAAGGTGGAATTAAGGGTCAAAAAGGGTGGATGGTGATGTTGTCCCTGTACTTACAACAGACAACATAGAGAGGACACACCCCTGGACTTCCTGTGACATATGGGAATACACAGACACAGGTGACAGAGAGACAGACAGACGACACTGGCATAATAGACTAGTGAACCACATACAAACACAGACTAAGTTAAAATCCTCACAGAAGCCCACATTCCTACACATGTTCTGAAAAAACGTGTGGACTTTGGAAGAATGTGTGATCCTCTGGTAATACTGTGTGAACTTACGATTTGATAGGAGTTTTCTTCTTCTTGGCAGGTTTGTTCTGGTTTTGGTCCTGCAGTTCTCCAATGTTGTCGTTGTCATTTTCATTATCATTATAGTCATTGGATGAGACCTCAAAGGAGGCCGATGCCTTAGGAGGGGAATTGGCCATCTTGTTGGAGGATTTGAAAGGGTCTATGGAGTCATCAAAGTTGTTGGGGTCAAACTCATAAGACGGCCTGGACAGTTTGGGGGAGTTTGCGATGCCTTTCTTTGAAGAAAATGGATTGAAATTTGGATCATCCCACTTGTCAGGTTCAAAGTTGTAAGATGCTTTGGACCCAGGAATTTCATCCTCATTGCCGTTGTGGGTTGCCGGAGGGTTGTTGTCCAGCTGCTCCGTCTGTGCTGGAGGTGCCTTTTTCAGGCCCAGCTTTGGTTTCCTCAGAGGCATCTTGGCACCAGGCTTCTTACCCACTTTCTTAGGTGGAGGAGAGGCTTGATGCGGAGCCTCACAGCTCTCCTCAGAGTAATCAAACTCCAGTCTTACTGGTTGACGTTTGGGTAAAATAGGTTGTTCCTCTGGGTTGGTAATTGGTTCTTCAAGAGAAGCGGGGGGAATGGGGTGATATGGTTCAACAGCAGGGAGAGAGGAACTCTCTGGAGGGGTGGCGATGGGGACACAGATAGAATCTTTGCGACCCAAGACAGGGGAATTGGCAATTTTACTACCTCCAGTCTTGAAAGGGTTGATGTTCTCAAAATTCTCTGGATCCCAATTGTAGGAGGCACTAGGAGGAATCGGGGATTCGTCGTTGACCGTGAGATTAACAGGAAGAGGGATCTCCTCCTGGCACAAGGGTAAGGCAGGGATGACAAGGCTCTTCTCTTGGCTGGCTTGGCTGGTACTACTCGTCTCCTCTGGCAGAGGAGGAGGAGTCTCCACACGGTTCTTCCTGGTTCTTCTGAGAGTTCCTCCAGGACTTGGTGTGGCAGAGCCTGCTTCGGTTTCCTCCTGAGCTTGGAGAGGGCTGGCAGTGCGAGGCTTTGCTCGCTTCTTGATTTCTGGGGTGCTGCTGGATGAGGCTGGCCTTGGGCTCTCTGGGTTGGAATTTTGTCTGAGGAGAGGCTTCTTCTTTACAGATCCAGGACGGACTTTCTTGGGCCTACGGAGTGTCCCTGGTGCACTCTCGGTACCTACACTGAAGGATTCAGAATGTGGACGGAAACCTCCTGACACTGATCCGTCCAACAGACTGGAACTGTCTAGTTCTCCTCCCTGGAGGCTGAGGGAGCGGGTTAGAGTGTGACTTGTTGGCTCTGTAGCAACAAAGTCGATGTTATAGGTACCACTGGCAGCAATGGGCTTGTTTTCATCAAAAGCAATGGATGGAGAGCGAGAGGGTGCATCAGCTATAGTCAAGTCAGAGTCAGGATTATCGACTGAGGTGTCTGGGACTGCAAAAGATGGAAAAAAATACAGAATATAACACAAATGTTTCTTTTAGCAAAAAGAAAAAATCCAAGCAGCATTTAAATATAACTAAAAAGGGATAATCATAAATTTGAACCAGTTTGTAGGTGAGATGCAGGTGATAACAAGAAAGCCTGCATAGACTATACACTGCAGCTAGTATTTGACACATCCAATTATAGAAATGAATGTGGTATAAATCATTTATTAAGAGTCTCTCAACTGTACAGAAAAGCATGAAAAAAATAACCACACTAGAAAGAGAAAGAGGAGACCGATGTTTCTTTTCATGATATCCGAAACGTGTCGGTTTTGTGCACTGGAGACGGTCTCAACACAAAAAAAGCTAGATCTGAAATACAACTTAATTCCACTAGATGGTGTAATAATGCTTCCGATAACAATCCAGGTTTACTGTAGTGTAACAGAAGATGAACCTGTGTAACAGTTAAGCACACATCCTACAATAAATCTCCTTCTGTACCTTTGTCATTAGATGTTAGTTGTTCTTTCTGAGGCTCAGTGGGAGAAGCAGCCTTCACTGGAGTTGTAGATTCTGGGGTTTCAAAAGCTCCATCAGAGTCTGAGCTCCTATAACAAAGGATAAGGACATAGTAAGCGAAGGCTGCTGTGAATCAGACTCTATGTCAGGATCAATACATTAATCGCGATTAATGTCAAGAACAACATTATATCACAAAGGACAAAATCATTTTCCAAGCAAGCAGCTCTGATATCACTCTTGAGGCAATATATTGTGTACATTTGTTATAATACAGATTCAACAAAGGCAGAATATTGCATGTGCGTGCATTTTATCGAGTATGTAAGGCAGCAATTGCAATTCCCTGTATTGGTAAAACAATAAGCCCCAGGCTAGTACGAGCTTCTGTTTTTATTTTCAAAGGAATTTAATGGCTACAATGAAAATGCTGAATCTGCAGTGAGGTGACAGATAATGACACACCTGAGATCCAGTATCACAACACAAAGATTACCACTCCAGACCATTTCAACATATTACAGTTATAAAACACAACCGACGGACTGAAGGAAACACTGAGCCAAAAACCAAGATATTATAGATTTGTGCATGAGAAAAGGCTGCAAATAAAGTCAATACACATTATCATTCTAAGCAAAAGAAATATTGATTGGTCGTTCTTGTCATCTTGTACATACATATGCATTTGTGCTCTCAACACACCCTGAAAACCAAGCTCCATGCTCTGATGGTCAGTATATTATCTGGCGGCATGTAGCCCACGTCTCCCATCCTGTCTCACCTCTGTCTGACCGGTTCCCCGGCAGCCCTGATCATACTGTCATGATGTGAGCCCCAGGAGAGACGCCGGAGTAGCCCCAGAGCTGGATCCGAGTCTGGGCTGTTCCCGTCTCCTGCCCCTCCCAGTAGTGTATCCCAGCCCCAGCGAGCCCACTGCAGTGGAGACAGAGCCTGCCACGCACTCACTGCCATGGCTGCCGGTGGGCTACACCTCTCCGCACCACAATGTTGCTGCCTGACACACAGCTAGACGCCCACTGCCTCTTCCTACGATGATGGCGGGGACCACTGGATCCCACCGTTCCTCTGCCTTCTCTCTTTTTCTCTAATGTCCAGTATCCAGATCTCTTTGTTTCCAATCTAGAGTCCTTTCACGTTGCACCTCTTTGTCATTTGTAGCCATATCAGTGTCTCCACTCCTCCCCAGTAAGAAATGATGTCTCCCAATCTCAATGAGACTGTCTGCAGAAGCCCACCTCCTGCATTACTGTATATTCTGGCAACCTCTCTCTCGCTCCCTCCCTCTCTCTCACCCAGCCATCCTCTCTCTACTTTCCTCCCGCCCTCTACCCCTCTCCCTCTTGCTCCTGAAATACTCTGCTGTATCCATACAGAAAAGGTCTACTACCCACCAGCCAAACCACTTCCGAAAAAGCTCGTTATCTATGTTACCACTGCATCTGGAATATTACACCCCTTTAACTTTATTCATTTATAGTGTCCATCTTAATTTTGGCAAAATGCAACAAACAGTTTTGTCTTAAAGCAAAGACACACCTCAGTTTTACTCCACAAACCTTATTGATCCACCTAATCGGTTGCTGAGGCTATTGAGCATCATGTGGGCATCATGTGGAGGTCCTTTGTCAAAGACACATGATTGGATCAAATAAAAGCCTGTACCATGAAAAACACAGGGGGTCTGGAACACCATCAGACCATCACTATGGCCAACATGGAGCAAACTAAACACAAATTCAGAGCTGAAATATTCATGTTTTTTAGGTAGAAAATGCCTTGCTGTCATGGTAAATATGTCCTCTATCTCTGATGTCACATCACAGCAGTGATGGAGGTTTATCTCAACCAAAGACTGACGTGTTTTACTAGCAATGCAATGTTCTTCCCTGACAAATCTAAACAATTCATCACGCTACACTCATGTTAAAACCACAACAAGGTATCAAATGATTAGTGTTGCTTATTTAATGCTTTTTTTTTCTCCACTATGTTAACCCTGCTAAGGTGTTGTGATGCCAGATGAGACAGCACGTGGGCAGAGCTGTAATCTCTTCGAGGGCCCAGTGTGTCCCAGCAGGATAAGACTGGTCTGCCTAGACATCCATCTGGATCAATCACTGGGAGCTGGGATCATATTGTCAGATGGTCAGAAGGGCAGTGACAAAGACACAGAGAGTTTGCAAAGATGAAATAAGCATAAAAGACAACAAGTTAGATGCAGAATGGGAATTAAAAGTCTTCTGCAAATGTATTAATGAAGAGAGATTCAGCTGCCTGTGAATGGCTGTGATACGATTCAGCCCTTAAAAATACGCTGTTTTCTTGAAAACGGATGCAAAAAAAAACAAAAAAAAGGAAAAAAACAAGATAATTAGGACTCATTACAGCTCTGTTTATGTCCTTGCAGACAACATTTTTTATGCAACTGCAAACACTGTGTTACTATGGTAACTGGAGGTTGTTCCCGCCATATGTTCCACTACGGTGGATGAAAACGAAAAAAAAAGGGGGGGGGGGGTTGATGCGCACAATCCAACACACACACACACACCACATGGTTCAGTAAAGTGTGTTATATGATAGAGAAGGCAATTAAGACACACTGCAGACATATGAGGCAAGCAGAGTGATTAGTATTGATCATCTTTATTCAAACTGATACCAATGGCATCTGATAAACCTGAAATCAGACACTGAAAGCAGTGCTGTAATTAACTGTGGGCATGAATCAAATTAACAGGGTGAAAGGAAATGGCTTCTGTGTTAATGCACTCACACCTTCCTCTGCTCCTGCGGTGCATAGTAGCAGACAAAATATAGAAAAAGAGGTAAAGCAGAGCGTGGGTAAGCAGTCGATTTATGGGGGCGAATAGAAACAAAGAGAGCAGCAGTTAATAGCAGCCTCTCGCAGGCTGAGATGACTGCCTGGAGACAGAGAGAGAGAGACTCTGCAGCGTGAGGCAGGGAGATGCTGCATTTCAGACAGACAGACGTGTCTCTGCTTCCAGCCAAATTCAACCCCGTCTGTCTCAACAGCTTTCACAGTGCTGGAGGGAGAGGCTTCACCAGCCACTGGGGGGGGAAAGGGAAATATGGCTCCACCTACACGTAAACCAAAAACCACCTCACAGGAAATGAAGAAGATGAAAATCAAGCAAATTTTGACATCACCATTAAAGACTGATATAAGGAGGCAACTGTGATTAGATAAAAACTGATGGAAAAAGGAGCAGAAGGGGGGGATAAATGGAGGCAGGCGGCTGGTCTCTAAGCAGCTGTGTGATTAGCCTCAATGGATTATCTGCCGCACACTACCTCCATCATCTCCCGACTGCCATAGTCGTCTAAACCTTGTCTGTCTGGACACCAACTATCATCAAGCTGTTTCCAATCCCCTCGTCTTTTACCTTTAATCCCCCTGCGTTCTCTCACTTTCTGCTCATTCTCTATACTTTATCTTCCTTTTGTTATCGTCTCCTGATCCTGCAATCTTTTTCCTCTCAGGTTGTTTTTTTTGTTTTCGGTATTAGGTTGTTTTCTGGGCATCAAAGAATCTACAGCTTGCCTGACAGACAAAAAGGGAAAAACTGCAGCTTAGTCAGGGATGGGCAGCATAAAGGGACAGTTCAGTAAACTGTAAATCTGTCACATGCTTTGCACTAGTAAATGTCTGTGATAATAATAATATATCAGCTGATTTTATGAGAAAAAACAATTTAATTTTCTTAAAATCATGTACTGCGACTGTATGACAACAAGGCGACATGTCTGCTTCATTTTCTATTATAAAGGTAAAATATGGAGTCTATACGTGTGGTCTATCCTCTAAGATAGAACTACGGAGGCCAACAGAGGGAGCTCCTGTGCTTTAATCCCTGTGATGAATGAGCGTCTGGATTTAAAGTATTACATCATAGCCCCTGAACACCACAACAGCCTATTTTCATTTTACAACACCTTCTACACAGATGTGATGTGGTCAGCAGGGAGCAGCTTGGAGAGGCCAAGAACACAAAGCAGCTATGTCTTCTGCAGATGATTCTTCAACCCTGTGAACTGAAATCTTACAGAGAATCACTGTGCACCCTCTACAGGTCACATAAACAAAACCTGAATGAAAAAGGGTTTTTCTCAAACAGCAGATGTCGTGTAGTTGTGTCTCCCTATCTTCCGTCCAGACTGACATCAGCTTCAGTCGGAAAAGATCTCTCCTCCTTTTGTCCGAGGAATCCTCTCAAAACAAAGAAGCCACGAAGACAAAAGAGTGTCAGACTAAGATAATCTCAATGAGTAATACCTCATCTAGGCTAATCTGAGGCACTGACTGCGAGCAGATGGCACATTAAAAGACAACGAGGGTGAGGAGGCCAGCAAGACAAAATATCAGCAAGAGGGAGGTTGGGTTTAAAATATCTCTTTATTTGATTATGGCATCAGGTTTGTTCAGATTACTGCCTGAAAGACATGCGGCGGTAGAGAATAACTCCTCAGGAATACTGAAAACGACACATGTTGGACTGAATTTCTAAAAAGTGCCTTGAGCGTAAACATAAAATGGTCCATTCCAAAACACTTAACACTCCCAGATCAGAGCCCTACAGTGCTTTGATGTGTGAATGCTCTTTCTCGCATCAGTGTTTTTGACAGTTACACAATGTACTAACGCTAGATATGGTGCTTCTCTTCTGCACACCTGTAGGAAAACAGCTGCTACCGTGCTGCAATCAATACCTCTATTTAGTTTTTATAAAAGAATTCAGTCCTCTAAGGTCTGAACCGCGCAGAGCTTTGAGATTAAAAATGGTTGTTTTATGCCATAAATCATTCATACGGAGCGAGCAGTCCCTTCCCTTCATCCCTCTCCTCTGTTCCTCCCCAGGTATTTCTTCCCTTGTGCAGTAGTGTGTCTGAGATATAAATAAAACAAAGTGGAGCACTCTTGCTCAGTCTCTAACTCTGACTCTCTCCACTCCCCCCCTCACACAGCGTGTTCTATTTCAACACGGTCACCAGCTCCTGCTCCCAGCGCGCCAGTCGCGTCCTCCTTCCCACAGAACAAAACATC